CCTTATTACAGGGTACCCGGCTGGAATAAATTAATTAAGTTTAGTTTTGTTATATCCATAGTTTTGTTATATTATATCCTCAGTACATTGCTAGTAAATCGATCAAAGCAAACAAGAAAAGATTCATAGCCAAATCATCTACCAATGCCTTTCATCTACCGTAGCTTATGTAATGCGTACTGAAACTAAATACGAAAGACGGAGCATTTGTACATACATACATATGCGCTTAAAGGCGAACTGAACGAGTCAGGATGGGGTTGATGAAGATCATGTGGAACGATTTCGATGTAAGGTCTAACGTCGATCAAACCACAGCCCGTGAATTGCATTCTAACCACCATTCTCATATCCCTACTAAACGCTCCACNTTTTCGCAAAGCTTTGCGCCGATTATAATGTCAAACACATGAAAACGCCTTTGTACCAGCCACAAGCCAATCAGGTAGAGGCGACAAACAAAAGCATTAAACTTGGATTACGTGCTCACATGGCTGATCTTCTTGAACATTCCTTTTGGGAAAACCATCTTTCTCGTGTTATTCATGATATTAACACTTCAGTGCATTCAGCCACGGGCTACACGCCATATTTTCTGCACACCGGTCGTGAATATGTGAAAGATGGAAACGAATATAAATTATTATTGGATGTAAATCCATACCATACCCAGGAGGTGGAACAACGTAAAGTTCTGGCTGATGAAATTCGAGACAAACAGTTCGAACAATATCAACAAACCGCACAACGGGCATTGACCCGCAAAAGAGAACGCCATTTCGAGATAGGCTCGGAAGTGTACATTCCCAATCCTAAACAGTCCGTGGCCGGAGAGGGCTATGCACAAAAACTAGCCCCACCAAAAATTAGAACCTATGTTTCACGGAAACTTGGTTCGAATTCATATGAACTGATCGATGCTAAGCACCGAGTGCTTGGCAATTATTCCGCCGATTTAATCACAACACGTTAACTCATTCAGTACATTCGCCTTCTCAAGAATTTCGATGAATATATGGCGGGCCTCCATATTCCTTTGATTCTGCCATATTGAAATAATAATAACGTTTGTAAATGAAATGAATTACTGCATAAATTAATTAAGTTTAGTTTTGTTATATCCATAGTTTTGTTATATTATATCCTCAGTACATTGCTAGTGAATCGATCAAAGCAAACAAGAAAAGATTCATAGCCAAATCATCTACCAATGCCTTTCATCTACCGTAGCTTATGTAATGCGTACTGAAACTAAATAGGAAAGACGGAACATGTGTACATACAGATGCGCTCAAAGGCGAACTGAACGGGTCAGGATGGGGTTGATGAAGATCATGTATAACGATTTCGATGTAAGGTCTAACGACCATCAAACCACAGCCCGTGAATCGCATTCGAACCACCATTCTCATATCCCTACTAAACGCTCCACATTTTTTGTTAACGTGTCGCTGAAGATGAGGGGGATAATGATCTATTATTTTTATTGGCCAAATAATAGACAGAGGAACGATTATGAGAAATGTAAACATAACAAAACTGTCAAAGCTAAACTTCAAAATGGGGGGGATTGCCAGATGAATGTACGTAACCAATAGTTATTCAAGACACGAACCATCATATCGGTATAGACACGAATTTACATGGCCACTATGAAAACGCCCACACTGAAATACGATAAAAGAATCGGTGGTCACATACCACGAGGCTAGAAAAATATTTTTCCTTTTTGGAATTGGACACGGACCGAGCAACACACATCAGCCCTCGCAGGAACGGAGGTAATCCTAACTAAGCAATTTATTAAAGCTGACGACATCGGTTAGGTTAAAGTAAATCCTCAGAGTGCGTATACCTGGGGAATATACTTATACTTACCTGTGGAAATAAAGAGTCTGTGGATATAAATTCTGGTCTATTCATTTGGCAGCAGTTAGACCACCGTACACCGGTAATCTTCAAATCATCAAACGTAAGTCAACCTAATTATTATCACCAGCCCAATGGAAACGAGCTACCCAACAACAGTTTATCGAGATTCCTGTTTGGATCGACAAGAAAAGGTCAAGCAAATCATTATCGTATTGATTTCTTGCAAAGCTCTATTTAAGGGGGCATTTCGGCTGTAAAGGGTTTGGTAATAGCGACTCTAAACAAATCAGTATGTCGCAAAGTTCTGCTAGGAACATTGAAATAAATTCTGCTGAGCAATAAGGGGCAATCAATGTTACCGGAAATTACATCGAAAATGAAGGAAATGGGCAGGAAACATCTTCGGTTATGCAACGGCATTAAGTTTAACTGACAACGTGAAAAATAGGATGGGATAGGGTCGGAGAAGCGTGTCGGATAAACACGCGCTGGACTGACTCAATCCTGTTTATGTGGACTTGTTAATAAGGTCTCCAAATAAAGGCAGCACACTCTAATCTTGACCGAACAAATGCAGAGTATAAGACTGAGTATAGGGATTCAAAAACGCATATGCCGGTTGGAAGTAAACAACCTCACGTCATATTCCGTGATAGAACCTTCACAACAGGCCCTATGAAAGCGCTTTTTACAAAAGCCATTACACGGCACAACTGAAGAATCGCTCCTAGCAAACATTTTAGTGCACTTTCCACAAAAAGCAGCCATATTTAAAATATGTATGTGTCTTTAAATATTTGTAACATGAAGAAACAAAGCAAAGCAAAATTAGAGAGTAGTCAAAAACACGTCTACACTCGATGACAAACTGTCACACATAACTCCTGCACATAACTCCTTTCTGCGTAGGCGGCCTTTGGCCGCCCTTAGGGATTATAACATTCACTAAGTAGAATTCTCCTTTCTGTGTTGCCGAAGAAGAGGCGCAGAACACCTTTTGCAGAGAACATCTTTCTGCGTAGGCGTCCTTCGGCCGCACTTAGGGATTATAACCCTCACTAAGTAGAATTTTCCTTTCTGTGTTGCCGAAGAAGAGAGGCAGAAAACCTTTTGCAGAGAAAACCCTTCGGCGGAACTAAGGGATTATAACCCTCACTAAGTATAATTCCCCTTTCTGTGTTCCCGCAGAAAAGAACCGGGCTTCAAAAAAATTACATGCTTAGGTCTCTTCTGTTTGGTTGGTTGGGTGCTTTTCGTTTTCTTTTAAGCTCTTCTTCGCACTGGGCGTTTGACAGTTCTTTGATTGTAATCGTTGGCACGGAAATTTTGTAAAGCGTTTTTAATTAATACATAAATTGCAGTTATATTTAACAAATATTCTTAAAAAAATGTTTATATGAGAGAATGGTAAAATAATAGTGATTATGAGTGTTTATATTTCTACTTTCAGCCTTTTTCAAGCGAAAAAAGCAGCAAAACGTAAGTGAGCATTGTGATTTTTGGCCATTTTTGTAAGGGTCCCTAGAGGCCTATAGGGGGACTAGGTGGTCGCGGGTTGCATTTTTGTGAATGGCGGTTCATGATCTCTAAAACGGGGAGGTCGGAAGCGCCCCGGTCGCTCCCCCTTCGCCCACCGTTCTTTAACCAACGGCCATATTGGAAAGCCAACCCACGCCCATTTAAAGTCCATTTATGTTGTCTTGAAAATTGTTGAGGAATGTTTTCATTAGTCACCGAAGAAGCACATCTTTCGCGGTTTCTAAATTTGCCGTTATATGAAAGTAGGGGACGTGCAATAAGTGTTTAGATATACATAAATATTTTAGTTAATTCCATTATGTGAAAAAGTGACTAGGTAAATGCAATAGCCTTTAACATATCCTGGTAAATCATTTTGAGGACTCTGCAGTCGGACGATATTACTTCGCATTCAGCTTCAACGAAAAAGTCACTCCCTGGTACACATTTCTGTAATCCGGTTCTTTCATTTAAAGGTTATTTGTACAATTGAAGAGAAATTTATTTAGAAAAGACTGGAGATTTGAGTATAAACTGCGACTGCTTCGGTTGACTCGTTTATTCGGAATGGAATCTTTGTACAAGCGCTGCTATTTGCTTTTGATATATCTTTTTGTATCTAGCCCTGCCAGATTATAGGCATATTTACAGTGTATTCTACTACTTACATTCAACTACAGCTCGGCCAACCTGACCGGAATGATCGACCTCGATCATGTATTATAAAGTACAAATAAAGATATTTACAAATTTTTAGTTTTCCTTAAATAAATTTCTTATAGACCACTATATCTACAGCAAGTGCTGCCTTCAGCTTTGAAACCGTTCATTGTCTTCCCCATTTCTTCTCTTCCAGAGTTTAATATTGCATGCTTCGATAACACTGTTATACGGTATTTGCGTGATCTGACCATTTTCTATATCCCTTAGTTCGTACCGGTCGTTGGGAAGTTTCTTATGTATTTCGTATGGGCCCTTGAATTTTGGTAAGAGCTTCTTATTAAGGCCAAATGTTGTGTCCACGTTTTTGATTACTACGAAATCGCCTTCCTCAAACGTTCTCCCTCTAGCACCCTTCTGTTCACTTCGGCTCAAGTTGTAGTCTTGCACTTTTTTGATTTTATCTCCTGCCCTACTAAGTATTGCATCTAAATCCCTCCCCCGCGCCTGAAATCTACTCTTCTAGGTACTCTGTCAATTTATCCACTATTTCTCCACGCTGGTTGACACCAAACAAAGCTTTACTACTTGGTGTTATTCCGATTGATCTATTCACCGAGTTGTTTATTGCGAATTCTATTTTGTAAGTTGTTTTACCCAGTCCCCGTGAGAGGTTGGGTCACTTAGTTTTGCCAACATACCTACTAAACTTCGGTTTACTTTCTCTATTTGCCCGTTGGCTTGTGGGCGAGTGCTCTGCCACTTTTATATGGGTTATGTTCTTATCTTTTATATAATCTTCAAAGTCCTTTGACGTAAAACAGCTGCCCCTATCAGTTATGCATCTTTGAGGCCGGCTATAATATTCGAAATATTTGCTCAATGCTGATGTTACTTCCTTAGCGGAGGTCGTTAAGACCGGGTACAATTTTACATATTTCGTAAAAGCATCTATTATGACAAAATGTGTTTTCGCTTCGATTGCAATGACGGAAGTTGGCCTAAGTGATCTAAAAGGATTGTATGGAAAGGTTTAGTGTCCTTAGGGATGTTATGCAATTTTCGGGCGTTCGGGTCATTAGGGGCGGAATACATAATGCATTTTACACAATTTTGCTTAAGGTTCTCGATTTTGCTTTTCATGTTGGGGAACCAGTAGTTCGCCTTGATTTACTGGTAGAACTTTTTCCCCAGTTGCGGGCCTTCATTTTTGTGGCATCACTCACTTTTTTCGTTCAGTTTGATATAAAATATTAAAATAAGTATTTATATCATTTTGCACGCAATGGCTGAGTGAGCAGCGCACTGGCGTGCCGTTCGAGAGATCCGAGTTCGAGTCCTAGGGCAGTAAGATTTTATTTTTTCTTTCCTTTATTTTTTTATTTTTGCTTGTTTCATTTGTATAAACTATCTTTATTGATTTTTTTTTTTGCATTTTTGATCTAATTTTCTTCTGATTCATTATAGATTTTATTGCTGTAAAAAACAAAACTTTTTTTTCAATTAAATTCAACAATTTTATAATGAGCTCGAGGCCATTTTTTAAATGAAAATTTATTGTGGAAAAGCAACAATAATTTGAAAAAATGGTAGAAGTGATAGCTATTTCGGAAATCACCACATTTCCTCATCAGACTTCTTTCAGTAGGATTCGAACCGACGATCCCACTGACTCAGCCAGTTGCCTATGCACCGTGCTAAGTACGCCTTGTAAATTAAATTAAATTTTTAGAAACTGTTTGATAAAAGATAAAAAAGACCAATAACAGGCCAATTCTGGCATCTGTCTTTCAACTCACCTCAGTCTTTCGAGAGACAAGAGTCTTTATATTGCGGCAACTATCTTGAAAGCCGTTTTTTATATTTCGAACGACTAATTGAAAGATGTGCTAATAGTGTTATTATATTTATCGTTTAGCAATAAGTTTTCTAAAAACTAAACGAAATGAAAAGAATATTTTTTTAAAACAGGAAAAACTATAAATTTGAGAAACCGAAAGTAAAAGAAAAAAGATGAATCAAGAAAGTTTCCAAACGTTAAATAAAATAAAAAATATGAATTTTTAAGCAATAAAACTAAAAAAAATTTATTAAAAAAAATTCGTTGCCGCGGAACGAACTCGAATCTCTTGAATGGCACGAAAGTGCTCTGCTCGCTGGGCCATTGCCACTGTTACAGCAACGTTATCGAAATTGAAACTTATTGAAAAAAAACAAAAAATTTCAAAATCATTCGTTCAAAAGTTAAGTAAAGGTTTTTGTTTACTTAACTTTAATGTTCATTAAATGCCGTTAACGAATCATTAACTGACTCTGAGAGGGACTTTTTTCAAATCGTTGCTGAGGGACACCTTAAGTAATCATTAAACGACTCTGAGTGCGGCTGTAAGTCTTCACTGTCGATTATAGCACTTACATTTTCACAATCAAATTCGTTCCTACTGAGTGCGTCTACGTGCGGCATTTTAGTGCCTGCTCTATGCGATATTGAATAGTTGTAGTTTTCTAGCTCTAAGGCCCAGATTGTTGTTGTTGTTGTAGCGGCTACAACAACCCCGCCCAGATCGGTTGATATCTCAGTTGTTCTCGTCGAGTTCCACTAACGGCAGCCTCAAGAAGCGTGCAGCCTCTATGGGGTCGGTCCACAGGGACGACGCCGTTACGGCTGTAGATTTTCCGGGCATGCGAAGAGATGATTCGAGTTGTGAGGGGTCTCTCCGCATGCCGGACAACCATTCGGCACATCCGCGTTTAGCGTACTCAGGTAAGAGTTTAGCCTGCTGCAGTAGCCAGAGCGAAGTGGGGTTATTGTTGTTCTAGTCACCTGAGGCAGATGGAGCTCCGTCGCGTCAATGTCCGGTGTTTGTGTGCCTACTACGGCATTCACAGGTCTAGAGTCTACATAACTCGAGACTGAGTCCCGTTCAGGGCCTGTCGGTATGCTGACGGGTCCAGAGGCTGCTTAATGAACCTCTGGACTTCGTCCGTCAGTTCATATAGATGCCTCCTGACGTGCCATGGCGAGGGCTCCTCTGTAAGCAGCTGTCTGTTTGGGTGGCCACATCTGTCGCCCATGTTGTTGTTGTTGTAGCGGCTACTAAGCCCCGTTCGGGGCGGTTCATCCATCAACGTTGTCGTCTATTTCAGCTAGGGGGAGGCCCAGGAAGTGTGCTACTTCCAGAGGGGCTGTCCATAGGGACAGGGGCGTTAGCTGAGTGGGATTCTCAGGGCATGTGAAGATTCTGCTCAGGTAGCCGTTGAGCCTGCTGCAATAGCCAGAGCGAAGTTGGGCTATTGTAGTGCGGGTCTCCCGAGGCAGACAAAGTTCTGTCCCGTCCACGTCCGGTGGTTGTGTGCCTAGAACGGCATTCACAGGGCGGGAGTCTACATAATTTGAGACTGATTCCCTGTGAATGCCGTTCAGGGCCTGTCGGTAAGTTGACGGGTCCAGAGGTTGTTTGATACCTCTGGACTTCGTCTGTCAGTTCGTAAAGATGCCTCCTGACGTGCCGTGGCGAGGGCTCTTCCGCGAGCAGTTGCCCGCTGGGATGGCCACGTCTGTGGCTCCCAGCGAGGAGCTGCTTGCAGAGCATCATGTTATGCACCTTTACAGGGAGCATCTGGGCCTCGTCATGGAGGTGGTGTTGAGGCGTCATCAGGAGGCATCCTGTCGCAGTTCGTAATGCCGTGTTTTGGCAGGTCTGTAGCTTCATCCACTGCGTCCTGCTAGTCCCCGGCGACCACACGGGCGCTGCATAGTTTAGAACCGGCCGGCCAATTGCCTTGTATGTTGCCAACAACGTTTCTTTATCTTTGCCCCAAGTGCTGCCGGCCAGCGACTCCGAGGATTTCGGGTTATTCACCGTCGGTATTATTACGCCATTGACGTGAATACCCAGGGGCAGTCTGACCTCCTTCGTCCAGGTGGTGAAAAGGGTTGCCGAGGATTTCGCAGGGGATAGGGCAAGGCTCCTTGCAGTGAAGAAGCGAGAAAGTTCGGAGAGGTAACCGTTTACTTTCGAGCACAAGTCATCAATTCCATTCCCAGACGCCATGATCGAACAATCGTCAGCATACGAGACTATATTAACACCCTCTGGTGGCTGAGGAAGCTTTGATATGTAATAATTATACAGTAGCGGGGACAGGACACCACCCCTGTTTAATTTAACGTGGCTTGGTAGTTTTGTCTCTGAAGATTACTGACGAGTGTCGACCACTCAGGTAATTCGCCGACCACCGTTTGAGTCCCTGTGGGAGTGAGGAGGCCTCTATATCTTCTAGTAGCGTTGAATGACTGA